AGGAGTTCTGGTGTTAGGGTGGGGCTCTATTGATTATATAGTGAAAATGCATTAATTCTTTGAAAATCTTCTTCCCTGCTCTTGGGTATTAAATAAACTAACTATGTACATAGTTAGGATAAGCAAGAGTGCCTCTTCCAAAATTGTGAATTTCATGGCCCCTGGGTCAGGGGTTCTGGTTTTAGGGCGGGACTCTATTGATTATATAGTGAAAATGCATTAATTCTTTGAAAATCTTATTCTCTGCTCCTGGGTATTAAATACAGTAACTAAGTACATAGTTATGATGAGCAAGAGTGCCTCTTCCAAAATTGTGAATTTCATGGCCCCTGGGTCAGGGGTTCTGGTATTAGGGCGGGGCTCTATTGATTATATAGTGAAAATGCATTAATTCTTTGAAAATCTTCTTCTCTGCTCCTGGGTATTAAATAATGTAACCAAGTACATAGTTAGGATGAGCAAGAGTGCCTCTCCCAAAATTGTGAATTTCATGGCTCCTGGGTCAGGGGTTCTTCTTCTGTACTCCTGGGTATTATTGAAACAAATTAAATACATAGTTATGATAAACAATGATGCCATTTCCAAAATTCTGAATTTAATGACCCCAGGTTTAAGGGTTTTAGTGGGGGTGGTGTGGGTGGTAGGGGGGCTTCTATTGATAATATAGTGAATCTGTTGATCATGATCACCCTATTTTCTTGCTTTTGGGCAACAAAGCTTCACCTTTCAGTTCATTTTATACTCTATGCATCTTTTAAATTGCTGTATCATACTCAGGTGACCGTTAAGGCCCTTGGGCCTCTTGTTAAATATATTTCTTTATATTATATTTGGAAATGCAATTCTGATATCTGAATAGCTAACAACTGCTTGTAACTGAAGCTGTCCTCTGACTTTCTATTCCTTCGTTCACGGTAACACAGTCGGTAGAGCGCTCGCTCGCTCTGTGATCGGGAGGTCGTGAGTTCGAATCTCGGCCGCGACTGACCTAAGTTGATAAAGAAAATGGGTAGCAACTGTTCCTTCGCCATGCGCTCGGCACTTTCAAGTGAAAGTTGCGGGTCCTTAGGAATGTCCTGACTTCTTTATCTTCACCAAGGAATTTTTTTCCATTTTTCTGTTGACTTCCTTTGTTCTTTTATGAACTTTAAACTATTTACAACTGTTGGCCATAAAACAAAGTTTTTCACTATCCAGATGTCTGGAACTGTCCCTTCTTCTTCATATTATTCTCTCTACCCAAAGAGCTCTTATTCATGACATTCTGAATAACAATTTATATTGTACCAACGCCTGCCGTGACACGGGGCCTCGGTTTTAAGGACCTTCAACTTTCACTTCAAAGTTCCGAGCGGTTGGGAGAGAAACAGTTTAAATACATAAAGTATCAAGTACAAGTACAGGATAAGTATGAAATTCTATATAATGATGTCGAGATCGGGATCACAATATATAAAAAAACGTGATATTCCGGTAAAGTTAAAACATACGTCTAAACAGTTTTGTTTGTTGTTTAACGTCCCTCTCTTTTTCAATTTCTTCGTTGTAGTTGCATTGCAAAATTCGTTTTTCCCCAACACCTCTGACTGAAAAGGCAAGTAATTTAGTATAGAAAACAAAACAAATGGTTATACAGAATCCACGATATACTAGGAGATCATATCAAGACAATTAAGTATATTACAAGTGCAGCTTGATTTATAGACCTTGATATCTTTATCAAAACACAGTCTTGCATATCGTTCAGTAAGTCAATTTGACAGAATGATGTTCAGTACTTCCTTTCCTGCTCTAATTTAATTGAGATGCTAAGGTTGTCGCCATAAGAAAAAGGATAGTAATCTCCGATCACATGTTTGGACATTGTTGCCTCCAATGCATATCAGTTATCCAATCTTAAAACCCCAATATATGATTAGTTAATGAAATATATGGAGATAACGAACAGTATTCAAACTCAAAAGTCCATTAAACAATAAAAATTAGGAGCAGAGCAAACACGGACCTCCAAAACATCAGGTGCCATGGAGGAGTGAGCATCCCCTGCCGACCGGTCACTATTTCTAAACTAAAACGACCCTTAGATACATTGAAAAATAAAAAAAAAATGTATTTTTTTTTAGAAATGCTTAAAATCTTTGTCATGAAAGAGATTAAATGAACTAGTAAACAGTGTCCGTGTGGACCTTCTACAAACGTCAATGCTTGTAAATAACATTCAAGATTTTATGAAAAATTTAAGTGACAATATTTTTTCAGAGGAGAAGGTTTAACCAAATGGTCATCTGCTAAATTTACATGATCATTATGTGTTCATTTTGAAAAAAAAAATTCAACGTCTATCCAAGTATTTCTTAATTTTTAAGTATGGAACGATTTCTTAAATGCTTCATTTCTTCTTATGATTTGTATGATGTATTCAGATTATCTATTTGTTATTTGGGAAGTACCTTGAGTATCCACATTTGTAAGCCCTTCTCTTTTCGAATCCCTTGTTAGCTAGTTGTAGTTGACGCACCCGCCCGATTTTGTTTGAAAAAAAAAATTACCGCTTATGTGACACCGAGCACGATATACCACTCTTGTTCTGTATTTAACCACACAGGTCAGGTGCTATTCACATCAACGATGTGACTGATAATCAGACATGTACAATGAACAGTTCTCTTGAAATCAGTGAAATACACAATTTCGGGAAAAGAGAATTTAAGAAATAAAGTTCGCGTGTTCGTGAATGTTGCAGGAAAACCTCCGGGGTCTCAAAATGTTTGAAAAATAAAAGCCGAGGAGGTTATCCTGCATCATTCACGAGAAGAACTTTATGTCTATTCTACGAACAGCTCTAAAATACGGCTGATCGTTTCCTCTATAGAGAAACAAAGTAGGTCATCATGTTACGTTTAGGCTGTTACATTTCAAATCAAAGGGTCTGTTTGTTTACAGCGATGAAATGCAGACCATTTGAGCTTTCCTTGGATTAAAAATGCCCCTTCATCATTTATAAATTTATTTGTAAAATAATTGATTAATATTTATGAATATTAAGTAACAAAATCAGTCAGTGGGCTATTTTCAGAGGGATTGCCTGTAGCCCTTCCAGTTGCTAGTGGCCAAAGGCTTGGACAGCAGCTGTAACGCCAAAATAGGTATTGGGATTTTTCCTTAACCAAGTTCTCACCACGTCAGCTCTTGCCATGAAGCAGTGAACATTGGCTTTCTACTAGGGATCACAGACGTCCTCCATCAGCATGAGGCTAAAACGGCCATGGACATCAGTAGAACGTGCGTCTCCTTTTGGTCCTCTCAGGTAAAGATCAAGGGGTTGATCGACCCTAGATTAACTTCAAGAGCCTAGCAAAACGTCTACATCATTGCGAAGAAGTAATGGTTCTGCCAGGGCCATATTCCCCTAATTCAACTACTGTGGGATGATTTAGAAGCTGTTGTAGTGTTTTTTTCTACATTTTGGGTATCATACTGTACTGCCTTCCATGTCATTTTTAATTGAAACATATAAACACGGATTACAGTCAGTTAACCAGGTTTTATTGTCACAAACAGTTCACATAGGGGCGCGGATCCTAATATGCGCAGGTGTCACTGTTTACAATCGGTGACGATACACAGTAGCTGTGTGAGTTGTGTGTGGGTGTGTGGTAAAAAGATTGTGATCGGCCACAGTTTCTCCAATTTTAATAACGTCTGGACATGTACATTTTTTGAGTCTTTTACAAGAATGAATTTTGTGAGTGAAAATACAGACTAAATAGTAAATCTACACCGGAAACAGCATAATTTCATAATTAAAATAAATATCAAACCGCAGGCCCTCCCAAGTTAAATAAACAAAACGCAGCAGCTTTTGAATTTAACATAAACAGCGGACGGGACTTTATGGTCAGTCAGCAAAATTCAAGAGTGAGAATATGATTATTAAAAAAAATTGAACAATGAACAATGTATTTAGTCATACAGATATTGACACATTGCGACTGTACCTAAAAATGCATAATCTGCAATTCTAAATAACAATGTACAGAATGTAAGACATTACACTCCCCCGTCTGATATCTAACTCAAAAAAGATATCACATCTCATCACTAAAATTCAGTTACTGGACGAATGTAAGTCACTGGTTTCTCGTGAGTCAAACGTTTTCCAGAAAAGCGCAACTTTACCTTGCGTACTTTTTCGTCCAAACTCGGGAAAACTTTCGTGGTAAGTCCAATAGGCCACTCTGTGCCTTTCGATTGAGAGTCTTTGAGAAGCACGATATCGCCTATTGCTGCGTTCTTTCTGTCGTCGGACCATTTTTGACGCAACTGTAGACTCTGTAGGTAGCTTACGCGCCACTTCTTCCAGAAAACGTCTGCCAAGTATTGTACTCGTTTCCATTGCGATTTATAAATGTCCTTACTTTCGAATGATACGTCTGGAGAGACAGAAGTACGTTTGGTTTTTGTGTTAGTAGCAAGGACGGACATAAAGGGAATGGATCCTCTGGATCTGATGACACGGCGGAAAGTGGTCTAGAGTTGATAATTGCGCAAACTTCTGCTAGGAAAGTTACGAGAATGTCATGGTTAAGGTCCCCGCAGTGTTGTAAGATCATGGAATCTAGTATTCTTCTGGTGATACCAATCATTCTCTCCCACACTCCTCCCACATGAGATGAATGCGGAGCATTGAAGATCCATTGAACTTTGTTATCACTTAGCTACGTTTTCACTTGGGTATCTCCTACATTAAAGCAATCGAGCTTCAGCTCCTTTGCAGTTCCTACAAAATTTGTTCCACAGTCTGAGCGAATTATTTTGATTGGCCCTCTAATCGCAATGAATCGTTTTAAAGCATTGATGAAGAAGAGGAACTTAAATCTTCAACTACTTCCAGATGAACGCCTCGTGTTGTTAAGCAAGTGAAGATAATTGCCCAGCGTTTTGAGTTTGCTGCTCCACCACGAGTCTTTCTTGTTACGATAGACCAAGGCCCAAAGGTGTCAATACCAACATTGGTAAACGGTGGTCCAGGAGTGATTCGATCTTCTGGCAAATCTGCTATCTTCTGATGCTCGTTCTGCCCCCGTTGTTTTTTGACATATCACGCATTTTTGTAGAACTGACGATACTAGTCGCTTCTCACCTATTATCCAATAGCCAGCTGATCGTATCGCACCAGTGGTAAAGTGTCTACCTTGTTTTATTTTCTCATGAAAATGTCGAATGAGCAATAATGCTATATGGTGTTTCCCTGGAATTATAACTGGATGTCGTTCATCAGCTGGTATTTTTGCATGACGAAGTCTCCCGCCTACCCGCATCAATCCATATTCGTCTATGAATGGGTCGAAATTTGCAATTTTGCTTTCTTTTGGCAACTTCTTGTGTAACCTGATGCATTCAATTTCTTCAGGGAACATCTCGCTTTGGGCTTCCTTGATGATTAAGTTTTCTGCCTCCTTTCCGGTTTGAAGACAGTCTTGCTCTGGCAGATTGTTTTTGGCGCTAAGAAATCGTTTAACATAAGCAATAGCGTTCACAAGTCTCTTCCAGCATGAAAATCGTTCAAAACGTTGTGTTCCAAGCAAAGATTCCTTTGATGCTATTGACTTAGCACAAGGTATTTCGGGTCGAATCTCTTTATCCTCCTCTGGATTCTGAAGTTCAAATCTCTCCCCATTTGGCTCTTCTCTGAATAGATGTTAAGGACCTAACAGCCAGGAACTTTGCTGCAAGTCCGCTGATGAAAAAGATCTGGTAGCTAAGTCCGCTGGATTTTTGTCTGTGGGAATATAGGTCCATTGTGTCGAATGAGATAGTTGACGGATTTTTGCCACTCTGTTACTGACGTAAGTGTAGAATCTACGTTTCTCATTGGAAATGTATCCAAGAACCACCTTGCTGTCAGTGTGGTACTGTATGCTGTCAAGCGGAATGTCGAGATTATCAGATATTGTCTGACCAATTTCCGTGGCTAGCACAGCTGCGCATAACTCTAATCTTGGGATGGTGTGTCCATGGGTTGGTGCGACCTTGGCTTTTCCTAGGACAAATCCAACACTTAAATGCTTGTCCGAGGTTAAGTACGCAACAGCAGCGATAGCTTTTTCTGATGCATCTGAGAAGATATGAAGTTTCTTATTCAATTTTATTGCACAATTTACTTTTATCAATAGTTTTGTTCGCAATAATGTATTTGTAATTATTAATATAAATTCTTTATACGGTCAAAAGTAAATTAACAGACCGATATAGGAATTAATATTTTTTTTCAGCATTTTGCGCCCCATGCATTTACAAACCCGATTAACAATTTGTATTGTGCTTAAATAAGTAAATCATTTTACCTTTGTATGTCTTATTTGCCCTTCCTGTGAAATTTATAAACTTGCCCTTTTGGTCTTGACACAATTCAAACTGGTCTACAGATAATGTTTTATGTTCGTCAACAGCTCTCAGACCAAAAAGTTTTCAATTGTAGAAAAAGACAGTATTTAGCATAGATTCTCCTGTACTGTTGCCGAGGAGACCCTTTTCCCAAAGGATATTTTCTGGCTCTTCAGAAATCGGCTCGGCCTGCTTAGTAGACGTCCCCACTCCTTGTGCGGTATGTTCTGCCATTCGCGCGCTAAGAGTCTTCCGGAATTCGTAAAATTGGGAATTCTTTTCATCTAGAAAATTCAAATGCACACCATTTTATCGCAAATGTCTTAAAAGACCAGTACACAGCATGTAAAGTGTTTTAGGAGGGTACGCCTTGCCATCTTTGCGTCGTGTTTCAACAACAAATCTTCACAACCAAAAATTAAGTTCCTCTGCAGAGAACGACAGAATATCCGAAATCTGGTCGCCTGTTGTCAACATCCGAGCGGAGCGCCAGTCGTTAAAAGTAGTTACCGACCAATTTGTGTTCTTGCTCTCTGTTGAATTAAGCAACTCTTTTAAATCACTGTCATTTACAAAATGATCATAACGACCCACCGGCATCTTAGATCCTTCCTCCTTTTTTGCGAGCAGATCAAAATCAACCGCGTAGTCCAATTCCATGTCATCGGGTCTGGGGTTGTACAAGGTGATTGACTGAGATAAGGTGATGTTCTCTGGCAAATTTTCGCACTCAATCTCCTTCTCTATCTGCTCAGTTGCTTGCGAAAGAGTAATGTCGTCAATTGTAGTGTCCCACAGGCTCCCCAAATCAAATAAACCCTCGCAGGTATCGTCCACGTCCATTTTTCTGCTTTATCAACCGTCCACATTCACTTCTAAGCGGGAAATGAAGCGCCGAAATTTCTTTTTGCACGTGCAAGATTACTTTGTATGGCTCTGATACATGTGACTTACACAATTAGGTTTAATTGGTTATGTACAGAAGGACGAAGGCGGGGCAAAAATGTCACTCGGACTGCGCGTCCTCGTGACATTTTTGCCCCACCTTCGTCCTTCTGTACATAACCAACTAAAACCTATTGTATAACTACTACTTAACCAGGTTTTATTGTCACAAACAGTTCACATAGGGGCGCTGATCCTAATATGCGCAGGTGTCACTGTTTACAATAGGTGACGATATACAGTAGCTATGTGAGTTGTGTGTGGGTGTGTGGTAAAAAGATTATGATCGGCCACAGTTTCTCCAATTTTAATAACGTCTGGACATGTACATTTCTGAGTCTTTTACAAGAATGAATTTTGTGAGTGAAAATACAGACTAAATAGTAAATCTACACCGGAAACAGCATAGTTTCATAATTAAAATAAATATCAAACCGCAGCCCCCCCCCCCCAAGTTAAACAAAACGCAGCAGATTTTGACTTAAACATAAACAGCAGACGGGACTTTATGGTCAGTCAGCAAAATTCAAGCGTGAGAATATGATTATAAAAACAATCTGAACAATGAACAATGTATTTAGTCATACAGATATTGACACATTTGCGACTGTACCTAAAAATGCATAATCTGCAATTCTAAATAACAATGTACAGAATGTAAGACATTACACATATTGTTTGGGGCGTACACATATAACCTCTTTCCATGACCTAGAATTAAGAAGTTAACTTCTGGAAAGAATTTGGGCTCACATCGACTATGATCCTCAACTATTTCTACCTGAATGACTGGTTTATAGGATACTTTACTGGAGGAGCTGTATCAAAAATAGCATCTATTTATAATAGAAGCGATAGAGAGAAAAACAAAGAGAATACAATTGTACAACCACCAAATTTTTACCTACCTATTTGCGTTTCCTTTAGTTTTAAATGTTCTCTCTTTTGATGCTGCCCTCATCCACTCCTCAAGAGAGGCAATGGTGTTGGTAACAGTATCAGTAGATATGTTGTTGTCCGAAAGAGTCACCAGTTTATGCGATAGTTCCTGCTGCACAACCCTTGATGTTATGCTTCATTTTTTTAAGGCTGACTGAAACCAGGACTCTTCTTGACGCCTATTCGGTGTGGCTTCAACTGTTGTTGTTGAAAAAATAAGGTCCCTTTGAAGTTCCTGTTGAATACGAATGCTCGAGATGATGAGTGTTATGCAAGTCTAGTATGATCTTTGGCCTTTACGCATGACTTCCAGTTATGATGTGCAGCCATGATCTTTGTTGAATACTGATAAAGAAACATCATCCAAACGTTTATTAAAAGGTTATAACCACAAATATACGTGAACTGAAACTGTAAAAGAACAGGCGGACCTAAAGACATATGGTAAGATATTAATTCAGGAATTAAAGGTATCTAAATGAACTTAATAACTATAATACTCATGCATATTCATATTTTGAGTTATTAAAAAACAAATGATTGGCCCAGCATAGTTAAGTAAAGGGAAGTAAAATCCTTTTTCTTCATGATTTATCTAAAATTGGATTCAAAAGAAGTCGTTGAGCATGTAACAAGAATATCATAAGATATATTATGTGCCTTTTAATTAATTTGATAAAGTATTATATTTTAAATGCTGATATTATACAATTTACGCAATTAACACATCTGTATTTATTTCCACTCTTTAGCCCGATTTTCCCTAATTTTAACAGTCCCATCTCCGTTCATTTTTCTAAATAGTATCTACTCCCGCCTCGTCTACTTAAATAACCTCCTTATCTGCTGTCAAATTAGATCTTTTTGCCGTTTTTTTGCTTTTGTAAACAAAGTCCATATAGCAGACAAATATTTGTTTATTGTTATGACATTTTATTTTACCGCAAAAATCTGAAGAGTTCCCTCAGCAAGTGCAATACTCCTCAGTAAAAATTTTCAGAAACAGCGGCGCGTGTGTCAAAGCGCATCCTAATTTTTCAAAAGTGAAAATTCTCAACTCTATTTATGGTCGAAGATCTTTCTGAAATTCTCAGCTGAAAATTTAAAAATTGGTATCATTTCTGTTACAGTATTTGAGAATCATATGTTTAAACTAATATCTCAAACAATATTCGTGAAAATGTTTTAATAATGCACATATAGTGTGAGCAAAAATGTGTAATGCGCAAAGTATTTGTTCGAATGTCAAAAATTGTAGTTATCTCCAAAATAAGAATATTGATTAAAAGAATTTACAAAATCAAAGTTTGTACAAAAGAGTTTAAAGTCTCATTTATAATTTTGTAAAAAGAAAACCTTTTTCCCATCATTACCATCCATCTTTTATAGGCTTCCAAGTAAGGAATGAACGTTTTAGCTTTAAAATGCAAATGTTTTGAAGAATTCGCGCCAAACGCGGGAAATCAATGCAGAAAAATAGCTTACTCAGCTGAATCAAACCATGAAAGAGGCACAGATCATAGAGTAAATTTTTAACATCGTAGTTAAAATTTTCAATTTATTTTTTAAAAAAAGCATTTGATGAAAACTACTGGTAGTTACCATAGAAGTAAATGTTTTCCGATATTCATGCTTTCGCTGGTGTCAGTGATAATGAAAAGGAATAGGGATATATCATATCTGATATTGAAAAGGAATAGGGATATATCATATCGTTTGAGTTTTGAAACAAAGTTGGAAACAGTTTTATGTTTAATATATTTTTAACTGCGTCAATGGCTCAGTCGTTTAAAGGTTTGTACATTGATGATCAGGTGTTCGAGTCTCGATTGGCTCTTTTGTGATCTCTTGATTTTTCATTTTTAGGTCACCTGAGTCACTCAGGTGACCTATTGCTATCTGTTTTTGTCTGTCGTCGTTCGTCGTACGTCGTTCGTCGTTCGTCGTCAATCGGTCGTAAACTTTTGAACATTTTTAGCTTCTTCTCTGGAACCACTGAACCAATTTCAACCAATTTTGGCATATAGCATCTATGGGTGAAGGGGAACAAAAATTGTGAATTTCATGGTCCCTGCCCCCCTGGGGCCTGAGGGGTGGGGCTAAAACCACCAAAAATAATGCAATCTTTAAAAATCTTCTTCTTTACTCCTGGACATCAAGCAGTCAAACTGTTGGCATCATTGTAATAAGCATGGAGCCCTCTATCAAAATTGTGAAATTCATGGCCCCAGGGTCAGGGGTTCTGGCCCCAGGGTGGGGCTATATAGATCATATAGTGAAAGTGCATTATTTCTTTGAAAATCTTCTTCTCTGCTCCTGGGTATTAAATAAAGTTACTAAGTACATAGTTATGATGAGCAAGAGTGCCTCTTCCAAAATTGTGAAATTCATGGCCCCAGGGTCAAGGGTTCTGGTGTTAGGGCGGGGCTCTATTGATTATATATAGTGAAAATGCATTATTTCTTTGAAAATCTTCTTCTCTGCTCCTGGGTATTAAATAAAGGAACTAAGTACATAGTTATGATGAACAAGAGTGCCTCTTCCAAAATTGTGAAATTCATGGCCCCAGGGTCAGGGGTTCTGGTGTTAGGGCGGGGCTCTATTGATTATATATAGTGAAAATGATTTATTTCTTTGAAAATCTTCTTCTCTGCTCCTGGGTATTAAATAAAGGAACTAAGTACATAGTTATGATGAGCAAGAGTGCCTCTTCCAAAATTGTGAAATTCATGGCCCCAGGGTCAGGGGTTCTGGTGTTAGGGCGGGGCTCTATAGATTATATAGTGAAAAAGCATTAATTCTTTGAAAATCTTCTTCTTTGCTCCTGGGTATTAAATAAAGTAACTAAGTACATAGTTATGATGAGCAAAAGTGCCTTTTCAAAAATTGTGAATTTCATGGCCCCAGGGTCAGGGGTTCTGGTGTTAGGGCAGGGCTCTATAGATTATATAGTGAAAATTCATTAATTCTTTGAAAATCTTCTTCTCTGCTACTGGAGATTAAATAAAGTAACTAAGTGCATGATTATGATAGGCAAGGATGCCTCTTCCAAAATTTTTAAATATTTGGCCTCAGTTTTTGGGGTTCTTGAGGAGGGGGGGGGGCTCTATTGATTATATAGTGAAAAAGCATTAATTCTATTAATCATTAATTAATCCTGTCTGCTCCTTTGTGTTGAGCTGATAAATAAATTGCTTAGCTATGATGAAAATGGGAGCTTCGAACAGAATTTTTAAATCTTGTGGTCCTAGGGTCAGGGGTTCTGGCATAACGAAGGGGGGGGGGGGCGGCTTTTGATAATATAGTGGAAAAGTGTTAATTCTTTGAAGTCCATATTTATGATGATGAGGGTAACTCTTCCAAATTTGTAAATTTTTTGACCCTTGGTATTGGGTTCTGGTGTTAGGGTAAGGCTTTGTTGAATCTGTAGTGAAAATGCATTGTACCTGTGAAATTCTTCTCTGCTTCTGGACATATTGGAAGCAAACTGAGTAAAAGTTTAAATGATATGAGTAAGCGTATTTCTACCAGATTTTTAAACATCTGGACCATTGGTCTAAGCATTCTGTTCCTGGGCAGGGCTCTATTAATTTGTATTCTACTGAGAGAAGTTATTCCCCTTTTCCATTCACCTTTGATAATTAATCACTGTAAATAATGTATTTGAAAGGTTAATAGAATAAGATAATTATGCAAGAATGTTTATTGTATAATTAAAAAAGTACTTTCTTAGTTTTAATAAACAGGTAGACTTGTAAGTTATAGATAAATAAAAATGAGACAAAAATAACTTATCTTATTAAAAGTTCTTCAAAGACCATAAGAGAGGTCAATGCTAGAGGTCTTAGTATGGGTTATAAATAGTACAGAAGCACTAATAGTTTGTTAATAGTCTGCATAGTGTTAAGTGGGGGACAGATTAGAACTTAATTTATGAGTTGATACTGAATGCTAGACTA